CTGAGTGGAGCTCGTGGGGCTTTGCTTGGACCCACCAGCACTGTTGGGGAGAATGACCCACAGCTGGTAAGGAAGGGCGGTGGCCTGCCATTTCATCGTCGTGTTCCGCAGGGTCCTTGACCAGGCCCATCCAAGGATGGCTTTCAAATTCAAGGCGAGGTGGGCCCACAGCTTCCATGAAGCCAGGTGGAAACATGGCTCCACAGGCCACCCAGACCCCCAGCTCCTCCTCTCTGCAGCCACAGCTCTAAACCAGCCGCCTCGAGAAATGGGGGACGCTGTTGGGTTTAGTCTAGAATGTATAAAGAACCACAGCTCCAACCTGATGAGAAACTGGCCAAAGGCCCGAGCAGGCGTCTCTCCCGGGAAGACAGAGGCCCCACGCACACGGGAAGATGCTCGGTGTCGCCAGTCACCAGGGAGACACAAATCAACGCCACGCGAGAAGCCGCTTCACACCCACTCACCTATTTTTAAAAAAATCAGAGAATCACAAGTGTTGGTGGGGACGTGGAGAACCTGGAACCCTCTTGCCCTGCTGATGAGAAAGCAAACTGGGGCAGCCGCTCTGGAAGACAGCACGGAGCTCCCTAACCGGTTAAAAATAGGGCTCCTGTATGAGCCGACAATCCCACATCTGGGGGTACGCCGCTGGGAGTGGAAAGCAGGATCCAGGACATTTGCACACCTGTGTCCGTAGCAGCGCTGTTCACAGCAGCTAAAGTGTGGAAGGGACCTCAGCGTCCATCAGTGCACAAGTGGACAGTCAAAACGTGGTCCATCCCTACAATGGACTACTGCTCAGCCTCAGGAGGAAGGGACTTCGGACCCCGGCCTCCGCATGGATGAAGCTTGGGGACTCGACGCTGAGGACAATGAGCTGGTCATCATCAGACGCTGTGTGATCCCACCTACCCGGGGGCCCCAGAGCCCTCGGGCTCCTAGAGATGGAGCGGATGGTGGGCACCAGGGGCCAGGCGGGGTCCATGTTTACTGGGGACAGAGCGTCAGTTTGGGAAGATGAGAAAGTTCTGAAGGTGGACCCCAGCGGCAGCTGACAATGGTGTGAATGTGCTTAATACCCCCGAACTGTCCACTCAAATCGTAAGCTAAGATGGCAGTTTTCAAGTTATGTTTATTTTACCGTAATAAAAAAGGAAGAAAAAAAACTCAAGAGGAGGGCTTGGTTTGGCCCCTTCCATGTAAGTTTGCCAGTCCTTGTGGGAGGGGTTCTGCGCGTTCTGGGTTTCTGTTACCCATTGGTTGAAGGCTCTGGGTCTGCGATACTATCTCCGTGCAAACTTGTCGGTTTCTGTGATGCAGAAAGATCATCGCAGGTTAAACGTTCGTCCTGGAGAACAAGGAACAGTTTCGCATCTGACCAGCCAATCTACTCTTCTTCACATCTCTGCAAATAACTGATTCCTCAAATTGCACTCAGCAACTGTCTCTCTCTTTTTTTTTTTTTTGCTTTTAAGTGGACTTCACACCCAGTGTGGTACTCAAACTCACAACATTGAGATCAAGAGTCACATGCTCCATCAAATGAGCCAGCCAGGCCCCCTGCCCCCCACCCAGCAACCATCTCTACCATCCTGTGGTTTCCTTGTTAATGAATTCAATAAACTTCCAGCCCTTGCTTTTTCCATATTTGTAAGGTTTTTAACTTTCTGGAGGTTTGATATATTTTTTAAAGATTTTATTTATTTATTTGACAGAGAGACATGGGGAAAGTGGAGACACAAGCAGGAGAAGCAGGCTTCCCACCAAAGCCCGACGTGGGGCTCCATCTCAGAACCTTGGGATCATGACCTGAGCCGAAGGCAGACACTTAACGACCGAGCCACCCAGGCGCCCTGAAAGTTTGACATCTTTGAAGTCATGGTGACCCAAGAATGTGGACTTTGTCTGTCTGAAGACTCACAAACCACCCTCCACCCCAGCGTCTGTGACAGACATTACTGAACGATCACAGGCCCCGCCCCCCCCACCTCTGGCCTTAAGGCTCTGGGGAGGCAGCACCAGGCCCTTTGAAGTGACACCAGTTTGTCTTGCCTGTTGTAGAAGGTGGCGGTGGCCTTGGAGCCCAGTGTGGGTGGATAGCTGGGGTGGGGTTTTGCACGTTGAGTGAGGTGGGTCTTAAATTTCATTCAACCTCCTTTCCAAGTGTCCTTACTGCTTTGCCAGGCCATGGGCAGGACGCTGAGGGTCAGAGATGGACGGCACTCAGTCCTTGCCTTGGGGACCCAGGAGGACAAGGAGCACGTGGGTTCAGTGGAACCGGGATGCCTGGCTTCGGTCTGAGAGCGGTCACTTAGCCGTGTGACCTTGGGTGGGCGCCTACGCTTCTCTGGTCCTCAGCTTCTACTCCCGTGAAGTGCAAACAGGGACCATAACCTACTTCCTAGGGTCAACGTGGGCGTGAGAGCCCCTCCCCATACGAGTGCCACCGAGCCATGGTGCACACAGCCAGTTTGGGGTCGCGGTGCGCGTGCTCTGCTTGCCCCCGGGGACGAGGAACAGGGAGTTAGCAGGATGCCGCGGAGGCGCAGGGCTCGGTTTCTGTGGGCCTCTGCTCACGAGGCCTTTGTCACCGCTTGATACGTAGTCTGTTTTATACGCGCTTCTGTTTAAAGACATCTTACTTAAAACATGTTGTTGGTTCAGTAACATCCCATGGACAGCCGCCGGAGCTCCCTGACGCATTTGCTCTGCCACAGCCTCCCTGTGCTCAGGAACACGGACAGCCCTCCCTCGTGCCCCTTAGGGGGCTGTTTTCAACAGCGAAGTCACCCCCAAAGGCACAAAAATGCAAACTGTGTGGCACCTAATGGCCCAGAAGGTCACTTAGAGTTGTAAGCCGAAATAGGGTGGAGGGTCCTGTCGCTGAGCTTGCCCCCAGCTGGGAATGTGCCCCCAGGGGCCCATGCTGCGGAGTGACTGGGAGGTTACGGAACAGCTCACTGAGCACACAGATTACCAGATGGGAATAATGAGGATAAAAGCATTGACCATGAGACAGAGCAGGACAGGAACCTGGCAGGGACCGGGCAGGGCCCATGGGGCAGGAACTGGGTGTACCCAGTTTTTTGGGGGGATGGAGGGGGGCTCTCCTCCTCTGGGGCCCAGTGACGTCTTCCAAATGCAAATCCCACCTCCACCCACCCACTCCTAACTCCACCGACCCTCCTGGAGTTGAGATTTGAAGATCCCCTTCCCAGTTGGGCGGGGCTCCTGTCCCAGGCACCAGCTCCCTCCAGCACCCCTGCCTCCACAGCCCCCCCCACCCTACCACCCAGCCCGCGCTGCGCACTTCCTCCATTGCAACTTACGACCTTCTGTGCAGTTACAGCCCCGCTTGTTCCCCCCACCCCAACCATTGCTGAGGGCGGGCACTCTGTGCGGCTGCTGCCCTCTGGCCCTGGGCAGACGTAGCTGGTGTTGGAGCACGGAGGGCACGGAAAGTGACCTTAGGGGTGATGTGGGTGACCTCTCCCCTGAAAAGCAAGGTGCTTGGCCAGGACACCCCTGGTCCCTCCCAGTTCTGGTGGCTGCTGGCCTCAGTTCAGGGTCAGAAGCCTGCACGTTCTGGGGCCTGGAGAAGGGCCCCGAGTACAGGTGAAGGAGCTTCCAGGAGATCTGCGTGGCGTTCCTGCCAGAGCTTTGGGAAGAGTAGCTGCCAGGCAGCTCTGTGAAGGCAGCAGGGAGGATCCAGCCCAGAGAGCTGCCCACTGGCCCCACGAGCAGGGTGGTGCCACCAGCCTGGGGTGTCACTGCGGGCGGGGGCGCAGAGAGGAGGACTGCTCATACTCCCCATTTACAGAAGCGGGACTTGACCAAGACTAGAATAATTCACGCTGGTGCACAAGGTAGACAGTGAAAAGCACCGGCTCTTCCCCAGGCATCCCCGGCCGGCAGTTTCTTGCATGAGAATCTGTTCTCCTTGCTTGCTGTGTGGTTTGGGGCACATTTCTTTGGGCCTCAATGTTCTCATCTGTCAAACGGTGATAGAACAGCATTCCAGCATCTCATGGAATCATTGGAGAAATAAATGAGTCACTCTGGGGACGGTCTGGCCAGTGGTACGCCCTGGGCTCCGCGTTCTCCTGTATATTACATACGCATTCACAGCTTCACAGGACTTTCTAAATGACAGCTAGTAGCCCAGTTCTTAATTCTAAACTTTGGGGCACTTTAAGCCCGAGCACATGTCTATTTAACACTGTGTCTAGGAATCTGCTGTGTATCACCCCAGTGAAAGGATTTATGGGAACTTTCCCTCTGATTTCCTATGTTTTGGTTCAATGTGGCAGACAATTTGTTACTGTTGAACACAGTTTAAAATGCATCACCTCAGGTGCCTGAGTGTTAAGCCTGCGACTCTCCAGCCTCTCAGGTCTTGATCTCAGGGTCCTGAGGTCAAGCCCCGCAGTTGGGCTCAGCGCTGGGGTGTGGAGCCTACTAAAAAAAAGAATAATAATAAAAACAAATAAAATGCGACAGCTCTAAAGCAGCCCGATTTATTCTGTGCGGTCCCTAGCCCGGGGGTGCGCAGGCCACATCCAGATACTAATACCGCTGTGCAGAGATGAGGCACTCCAGGCTCTGTCGCAGCGGGAGAACCTCCCCCCACCACCGCTCCGACCCCCCAGGGGCGAGTCGAGTGCTGGCCCCGCCCCCGGCACGGCCCCGCCCCCGAAGGGCCCTGCCCCACCGCCCACTTAGCGCGGCCGCCCAGCCAGGCTCCGCCCCCGCCCCCCAGGCGCACTCTGCGCCTGCGCCGGCGTCTCAGGCTCTGGGGCCCGGCCGCCGCGGCTCTTTTGTTTCCCCGTCGGAGTCCAAGCCGGAGACCGGACCCCAGCTGGAGTCGCAGCCGGGAAGGGATTCGGATCAGCAGCCGGGACTGCCAGCACGCCCCGAGCGGCCCGCGGGGCTGGAGGCGGACCCAGCCTGCCCGATGGGGCGCGCCCCCCGCCCGCCACCCCCGGCCCGAGCCGCCGCCTGAGCCGCCCGCCCGCGCCATGGAGCCCGGCCGCGGCGGCCTGGAGGCCGTGGGCAAGTTCGAGTTCTCGCGCAAGGACCTGATCGGGCACGGCGCCTTCGCCGTGGTCTTCAAGGGGCGCCATCGGGAGGTGAGGGGCACCGGCGGGCCCGGACCAAGCCCCGGCGAGGGGGCGCCCCCTCCTCCCCCCGCAAGTCCGGGGCGCCCCATCCCCCAACCCCACCGCACACCCAGGACCCCTGCTCTGACCCACAGCCGGGGACCCCCGATCTCCGCCTCATACCGGGACCCCCAGCCCCGCCCCACACTCGGGGACCCCCATCTCTTCCTCACGCCCGGGGATCCCCATCCCTGGGTCATCCCCACCACACACCGCGGGGGTTTTCATGCCCACCCCACCACATGGGCCCTTCATCCCCATCCCCACATCCTGGGCTCCTTATTTCCCCGGACAGCCCATCTTTCCCACCCCACACCTTGGGTCTTTCCACTGGCATTGGAATCCCCCCCCCAAGGTGCTTACTTGGCCTGGGGGTGGCCCTCTACGGATTTCTGGGTTCCCGTCCCCTGAGGAACATCCATGCTGGGTTTTTAGAAGCATGACCTGGAGGTCGCGGTCAAATGCATTAACAAAAAGAACCTGGCCAAGTCCCAGACACTGCTGGGGAAGGAAATCAAGATCCTCAAGGTGAGCGGGCTCTGGAAGCGGTAGGGGAGATGGTGGGGGATGAGTTAGCTTTAATCCTAAGAAACTTGGTTTCTGTCCTAGGAATTGAAACATGAAAACATCGTGGCTTTGTATGACTTCCAGGTAAGGCTCTGGGTGCCTCGACGGTGGGGAGGGGGTGTGTTACCCTCCCCGGCTGGCCAGTGCACAGCCTCAGGCCCCACGAGTGTGGGTCCCAGGCCAGCCAGGTGCTGAGACCCTGCTGGGTAGTGGAAGGTGCTAGGCCAGGGTCTTGTGTTGGGAGGAGCTGGGCACCCCTGGGTGTAGATCGCTGTCTGGCCTGTCCAACTGAGAGGCCTGAGCAGGACCCTGGAGACTTCTTTCTCGGCCCAGTTTGGGGCCTGCTTCCTCTGGGCATTCGGGGAGAGTCCTGCCGGCCCTAGCAGCCTGTCCCACTGGTCGCCTTCCTGGGACTGACGGAGGTCAAGCTAGCTGCGGCGTGGGCCTCAGGGGGATCAGACCCAGTGGCCCGGACCGTGGGTCCTGTCCCCAGCGCAGGCCTAGGGCAGGGAGGTGCCGGCGGCCTGGTCCACCTGTCTGGGCCGGCGGCTTGTTTGTTGACATTGCTCCAGCCTGGCATTGGCCAGTCCCTCCCTGCGTCAGGCTGGGGGAGGGGAGGGGCCCCGCGGAGAGTCGTCCTAGCTGGCTGTCGGGACAGAGAGCCCAGGCCAGAGGCAGCCGGCAACCAGGCGGCAGTCCACCTCAGGCCCAGCCGGCTCTGGAGGCCCCCTCCGGGTCCCTTCACCACCCCTGGGGCCGCAGGTGGGGCTCAGCTCCGGTGAGGGTCCGGGACCCTGGAGAGCCAGTTTGGGGACTGGGAACCTGAGGCGGATCTGCGGGCCAAAGTGCTGACTAATGGTTTTGAAACCTGTTTACTGAGGCCACGGGACCTGCCCCTGGCTGAGGGGAAGTTCCCAGCCCGGCTGTCTGTGTTTGGGTGGCCTCCGCCCTCCCCCTTGAGAGCCGGGTGGTGGCCTTGGGGGCTATGGCATGACAGGAGGTGACATGGGAGGGCACGGGTCCAGTGTGACAGCGAGTACCTGGAAGCCGGGTACTGGGCCGCTGAGACACGGTGTCCCAGGGCCAGGAGGGCCGTCCCCTTCTTTCTCCCCCGTTTCCCTGTCCTCTCCCTCCTGCCCCCTCCTGGCTGGGCCACACACCTGGCTGTGGGCAGTGCGCTTCCTCTCGTGAGTGGCCTCCGCTTCCCCCACCTGGAGGAAGTGCACAGAGGCCCGTGCCGCCTCTCCCCTCGGAGGCCCGGCCTCTGTCTGGGCTCTGTGCCTCACTCCCTGGGGCCTGCGGAGGTCCCTGAGTCCTTAGACTTCTCTGAGACACACGGGACCTGGGAAAAACAGCTTTTAAAACTTTAAATAAGTAATTTGGCACAAGAAAAAAAAATCAGTTATAAAAGTGGCCTGGGAAAAGGTAACCCCTTTCTCTCCCCATTGGCCCCACACTGACGTTGACGGTTTCTGGGACTCTTCAGGGGCAGAAACACGTTCTTACGTACCGCTCTGCCACCACGCGGTCCGCTTCTGGCGGTCAGTGCTGTTTTCACCGGAGCCTGTATCTCAGGGAGGATCTGTGTGTCTGTATGCAGGACATCACAGCCCCCTCCCGGGAAGGTTACCACTTCGGAGCCCAGACTCTGAAGCTAGATGACCTAGTTCCAGTCCTGGTCTAAACTACCTCTGAACTTAAACCAGCTGTGTGTCCTTGGACAAGTATCTTAACGTGTCTGTGCCTCCACCTCTTCCGGGTGGAGACCCTGGCGTTGCGGGCTTGAAGCCCGCCGTGGTGAGCCCTGAGTGCTTGGTAGCTGTTGTCCCCAACACGGTTGTGGGTGTTACTGGAGGGTGTATTGGGTTCCATTGCCCGACATTCCATAGCTGACCGCGTCCGGTCCCCCACTGATGGGACTTGGGATTTTCTGGGTTTCCGGCACACTGGTGGTGTGGTCGTGACCTCGCGCTCAGTTTGGGCCAGGTGTGTATCTGCAGCGCAGGCTCCTAGACAGGGATCCCTGGGGAAGAGGGCCGTGTGCTTCTCATTTGGTACAGTTGCCAAACTGTGGTCCCCAGAGGTTGGACTGGACATGCAGCAGGGATGCGAACGGAAGGGCTGGTCTCCCCACAGCCTCTCCGGGAGGTCGGCTGTCAGACTTTGATCTCAGCAGAAAATGACATCTCCGTGTTTCTCACTTCCTGTGAGCGAGGCTCGGCATTCGGTGTGTGAGTATTTGGAATCCCGCCTGCCCTCAGCCTGATTCCTGTGGTCTTTTTTTACTGAGGCTGAATGGTGCCATGATTAGCGGCATGGGCCCTGAGCCATACTGTCTTTGTCTGAGCCCAGCTCCTCAATTCACTTACTTGTGTGACTGACCTTGGGCAAGCTCCTCAGTGTCACCTGTAGAATGGGAGACGGTAACAGTATGTCTGTGTGGTTGGGTGGTTGTGCTGAGATCTGTGCCTGCCACGTAACAACTGCTGTGTAAATGTTGTTGCTTTGCAGGAACTCTTTACGTTTTAAGGAAAACTTTTCTGTGATAATGTTACAAGTATTTTCTCTGAAATTGTTCCTTTTCTGTTGTTGTTTTGAGGCCCTATGGAATAGGAATAGAGATGTTTGTCAGGTGATGTGGTTGCTGGGGGGGGTTGTACTCTATTCTGAGGCCCCCCTGACCCATGGAGAGGCAGCTGGAGCCTGTGGTCTTCTATTGAGTCTATACCTGTGTGGTAGGTGGTATCTTGGATGTGCTTTTGCCTTAGGAGGGTGGCCATTGAAGGATTCAGGATTAGGACTGTACCTGGCATGCCCTGGGAGGAGGGCTGATGCTCCCAGTTCTTGCTGACAGAGACCCCTCCCCCTCCCAAGGCCGGCTGGTTCCCACAGCTGGACATGACTCACTCAGGGCCAGCCTGGCCACAGACGGAGGCAGCCAGCCTCCTGCTGGCTTACTCGAGGGCCTTCCGGGGCAGTGCCGGTCTGCCACCTTGCCTTTCCTCTCCAAGAGGGACCATGGGCCAGGGGTGGAGTGGGTGACGGTGGGCAGGGTGCAGGCTGGGTGGCAGCCCCTCGTACCAGGTTCCAAGCTGGGGGCCAGTGAGGAGGCCTGAGGGAGAGTCCAGGTGCTTCTGGAAATGCCTGTAAGGTTGTGTTATTATGGTCTTATCTATTTTTCTTAACTTAAAAATGTTTTTAACTTAGAATTTTGAAGTAGAACATATAGTGGGCAGTGGGAGACGCAGATCATGAAGTGCTTTGGGGACCACTTAGGTGAGGAGAGAGCTGGAACGGGGCTGGCCCCAGGAGCTCAGAGCCTGAGTTTCTCTGAGCAGGTTGGGGGGCTTGTGGTGCTGCCTTTTGTGGGGATGTCTCTGCCGGTCCACCCGCCTCTGAGCCCTGGACACGCCCCAGCTCGGCTGCCTGGCCGTGTGCTCTTGGCGTGTGGGGCTCTGGGGCTGTGTGGTGTCCCGTCGTCAGCCGTCTGGGTCAGTGCCCTAGGACGGAGCTGCTCAGGGATCTGTGCAGGTCACGTCTGCAGTGTCGCCGTGGTATGTGGCCACTGGGGCTTGGTGCGTCTCTGGGAGGAGCGTGTGGTTTCTATTTTCCGAGGGCTCATACCAGCTCACACCTCCCCTGCCTTCTCCCCTGCGTTTCCCAGGCAGGGCCAGTGTTCCGGGCGGAGTGCGCCCCGGGATGGGGGGCAGGCCACCCTGCGGCGGCTACAGGAGGCTCCCCAAGCAAGGAGGGTGGAGCCAGGCACCCTTCCCTGCTGGAAGCTGGCTGGAAGGAGCCGGCCTGGGGCGGGGAGCAGCCCTGCTCCTGTGGGCGGCTGTGCTCTGGCCCCCACTGGGGCTTTTGGCACCTTCCGGAGCCGAGGGCCAGCGTCCCCTGAGTTAACTAGGTCAGTGCCTGCCCACTCACCAGGCCCAGCCCGGGCAGGGAGTGGGATCCTATTAAGCAAAGCACCTTAGCGCCCCCATGGCGGGGAGGCCTCCTACGTGCCTGGGTGCTCGGGCCAGCCCTGTCCCTGGGGCCTGTGGGCACCCTGCCAGGGGATGCGGGGGCTCCCTGTCATCTCCCTGTAAAGGCTTTGTCATGTTGTCCACGTCAGGTGCTAGGGTGGGGACATCCCCTCCCCAGCCGTGGGGGAGGGCGGGACTGAGGGTTCCCCGCCCAGCCCTGCCCCTCCCTTGCCCCTGTATGACCATGTCCACAGCCCGTGGCCTGTGACACGGACGGGAGCCACCACGTCCTAGGCCAGCAGGGCAGCGGGGCATGTGGGTAGCTGGCCATGGGGCCGTGAGGGCGGCCCTGGGGCGTTCCGCATGGGCCGTGGGGCGGACCCGTGCCTTGGCCACGCGTATGTTTCTGTGTAAGGTTGTGATGAGTTTCCAAGAACTTCCCCTGAGGATGAGAAGAGGCCACCTGTTCCCGTCTGCCTCTCCCGGGGGGAAGCTGTCCCCGTGGTTTCAAGTGTGTACTGAGTCTAGACTGACCCCGAGCAGGGTGCTTGGTGCCTGCAGCCGTGGGGTCCCTGCTCCCTCCCAGGCGAGCATGAGGCTGTGGTGGGTGGGCAGTGAGCTGGGCAGGGGCAGGCCAGCCGTGGCCACCTAGGTAGTGCTGACGAGCCCTTTCCTCCTGGGGGGCCCAGCCAGCTGGCATCCCAGGGAAGGGTGGGGGATACCCACTAGCAGTGCTGGAGGGAGGGCCTGACCCCAGGTGGATGGCGCAGCAGCTCTGGGGAGGGGCCCGGGCAGGGAGCTTGTCTGGAAAAGTTCCCCACCCAGGGGCGGGGAGACGTGCTACCTGCACCTTCTCCTGGTGCCTGTTGGGGCTGGTAGCGGTGCGGCGGGGCTCTCCGGACCTGGCTTGCTATCAGCACCCAGGCAGGCTGAGGGCGCCCTGGAGCTGGCTTCTGCTTCCCAGGCCTGGCCATGTTTCCTGAGCTCACCTGGGAAGCGGCCCAGCCGGGGACGGCCAGTGGAGTGAGGCTGTCGTAGGTGGGGAGACAGATGCCGGCAGGAAGGGGCTGGTCTGAAGCTGTGCTCTGGCCCAGGTCGTGGCAGACCCCCACCTGGCTTCCCTGGCTCACCCCAAGCCTTAATGCCCCATGTGAGGTTGGCTTGGCTCCCTGCCCTTGGGCCCAGGCCTGCTGTGCTCCCCCTGCTGGCCCTCTCTGCTCCCCACCTGGAGGGCCTGCTGGGGTGAGGCTGGGCTGGCTGATCTAGGCTGCAGGTGGAGGGACTGCGATCAGAGCCGGGAGCAGGTGTCTAGGTCCCCAGAGCCTTAGTGGCCTCCCGGCCTGCTGCTCACGGGCTGTCCGGGGAGGAGCCACAGGCCGTGGGGTGGCTCAGGGTGGTCTCAGGACGGGAGGCATTGGAGGAGGCGATCAGCCCTGATGTCCTGTGGGGAGGACTGTGGCCCTGGGGAGCGGTGGGAACAGTGGGCCGCAGGGATGGGGCATGTGCAGGGGCGGGCACGGGCATCCACCGTCACATTTGGAAGCCTGCTGTGGTTCACGTGTGGGGACAAGGCTGGGAGCAGGGCCCAGGCCCTGTTGGAGGGTCCTGTGGGCTCTGAAGTACAAAGGGGACTCTTGTCACCTTTGCCAAGGGGGGCCTTCTTTCCAGGGGAGGTAGTCGTGGGGTCTGGGGCACTCCCAGATTTGGGGGGAGGGGGAGGCAGGCCAGGGGTTTGCACTCACTGCTCCCACACAGCCCTTGCCTCCCTGCCAGTCCTGGTGAGTCACTCCCTGGGGGGGCTTTGCTTTGTATTGCCTGTCACTTTGTCCGGGCCTGGCCTGGCTTGGCGGGGTGAGTTTAGGGCTCTTCCTTCTGGAGGTGCCTGGGCCTGAGTCCCAGTTCTGCCCCTCTACTGTATGGCTCAGGGCAGGGGACTTGAGGCCAGAATGCTCCCGGTGCTCCCTGGAGCTCACTGGTGAGGAGGAAGCGTGGGGCATGCCCATGACAACAGCCAGGTGGCCCGATGGCTGCTCTCCTGGGACGCTCCTAGGTTCCTATTTCCTGCCCCTCCCTCTGGCCTCTGCTGGGACCTCTGCCTGCAGGCCTCCCACTCCCCTTCTGGCTGTCAGCCCCTGCCTGCTCTCTCCTCTCCATGTGTCTAGCCCCTCTGGCCCCGCAGGAGACCGGGGACTCTCCTGGAGTTGCCCCTGTGTTATCTATCTCCTGCAGCTGGCGTGGAAGGACCAGGCCTGGGAAGGCAGGGTGGGGCACACTGGAGAGGCCTGCCCGCCCTGGGTGGGGGGGTGAGTCAGGGTCGCCCCCTGAGAACACGCCCCACTATTCCACCTGCTGCCCAGGCTATGTCTTGAACCCACGGCCCTCTGTTGCTGGAGCTCTGGGGGGCTTCTCATTAGGGGGGTACTGACATTATAACATGGGGTGTCCCCAGGGGCGCCTGGGTGGCTTATCTGCCTTCAGCTCAGGTCGTGACCCTGGGGTCCTGGGATTGAGCTCTATGTTGGGCTCCCTGCTCGGTGGGGAGCCTGTTTCTCTCTCTCCACTCCCCCTGCTTGTGTACCCTCTCTCACTGTGTCTTTCTGCCAAATGAATAAATATTAAACCCAAAAAACATGGGGTGTCCCCCATGCAGCCGCTTGTGTCTCTGCTCCGTACCCATTGAGTGTGGTCTGGGCCCAGGTCCTGCCAGATCTGGTGAGAGGGTGGCTGAGCTGGGGGACCTGTGTCCTGCCAGGTAGGGCTTGGGGACATGAGTCCACTGCTGGAGGTCGGGCCTTTGTGGATCAGTCTCAGGGGACTCCCCCCTCCCCTCCCCACACCCCCGCAAGGCTGTTGAGAGATGTCCCTCTTGGAGTCACTTCCTTGCCTCCTCCCTTGCTGGCCACTGCATGGGGAGGGGCTGGGCTGACTGTGTGCAGAGACCCCGCCTGCCTGGTGGACTGGGTGTCCAGGGCCTCAGACGACGAGCGTACCACCTGGGGGTCTCTGCAGCACTCCTGCCGGCAGCTGGAACCCGTGGGTGGCACAGGCCCCCACCATAGGGTGGCATAGGTGGCTGCTGGTGGTGGGGCTGCCCGTGAACTGGCCGGGCCTCGAGCTCTGCAGTCTCGTCGGGGGGACCCTGCCAGGGACGTCAGCAGCACCCTGAGCCCATGGGTGACTGGGTACCGGGCCGCAGGGGCTGGTGCAGCCCTCTGTAATCCTGTTGGTTGGGGTCCTTGATCCTGGAGTTAGGAGTGGTTTCTGAGCCTTGTGGGTCAAGGCTCTCCTACTTTGGCCGTTTCCTTCCTGGGGACCTGGGTCCCCCACTGGTTGGGTAGAATGCGAAGCTGACCCCTATTGAAACTTCAGGGCTGGGCTGACCCTGACCTTGATGGGGACCTGGGCAGTTGAAGGTTGCCCCTTGGAGGCGGGGTCAGCATCCACCCCGGACCCCGCTCCGGGGACCTCAGGTTCTCCCTCGGACTTGGCAAATAACAGTGCTCTGATTGGCTCCTGCTCTTGTCTGTCATGCCCGCATGCCGGTGGCCTCAAAACCAAACAGCACAGCCTGGTCCTCATCCTCTGGCCGCTCCCCAGCGGGCCAAGCACGACACAAAAAAGCGGCCTGCGGGTGTCTGCCCTCTGGCCTCGCTCGCTTGCCGCCCAGGGATTGTGTTGAGGGCTTGAGTGCCAAGCGCGTGGTCACACTGAGGCCGAGAGGAGCTTCCTGGAGCACTACTTGGGGTGGGGGCAAGGAGTGGCCCCCTCCGCCTCTCACTGCTGCTTCTGTGTCCTACAGGAGATGGCCAATTCTGTTTACCTGGTCATGGAGGTGAGTGCCTGTGGCCCCGGCTGGGAGGACAGGGAGGCCGGACTCTCCTGGGTCCTGGTTCCTTGTTGCCTGGGGAGTAGAGGTTGGTTGCACGTCTGTGGGTGTAGGGCGCCCCCATCCACAGCCCCAGTGGCTGTGGCAGGTGTCTGAGGGGCCATCAGACCTCCTACTGACCTCTTCAAGTAGGAGTTGCGAGGGACACCTGCCCCAGGAAGGAGCCCAGGAGCAGGGGGGCTGGTGTAGGGTGGCGGGTGGTCCAGGAAGGGCCGCTGACCAGGCTCTCTGCCGATGGTCTGTTGCAGTACTGTAACGGCGGGGACCTGGCCGACTACCTGCACAGTGAGTGGACGCCCCTCGGCCGGGGGCTGCGCACCCAGCCTCGCCCTGACCCAGCCTGCAGGGCAGCCTGACGGAGGTGGGGGGCCTCCTGTCCCCCCGCACTTGCTGCGGGAGGTGGAACGGCTCTGCAGGACAGAGGGGTCTGGAAGGCCCCTTGTGAGCAGGCCCTATGTGCTCGGCGGGGCTGTGGTGCCTTCTGATGGCCGCCTGGCCCCACAGCGTCCCCAAAGCCCCTGGACGGCTGCTTTGTGGGGCGCTGGGCTGTCCTGAGCGTGCTGGGTCCCCAGCAAGGCCTGGCTGAGCGCGGGGGTGCGGGGGGCAGGCACTCTGCAGGCCTCCGGGGGAGGCCTGGGGACGGGGAGAGGGTGCATCAGCAGCAGCACGTGCTGGCGGTGGCATGGTGGCTCAGAGACCCAGCAGCAGATGGGCCCGCGGGGTGAGCGCTGGGCACGGCCCCCGTGGCCTCTGGGGTGGGGCTGTGGAGGGGCACCGTGTGGGAGCCTGCGGAGCCTGGAGCCCCTCCCCCTGGTGCCTGGCTGAGCCGCCGCTCCCCCTCCCGCAGCCATGCGGACGCTGAGCGAGGACACCATCCGGCTCTTCCTGCAGCAGATCGCGGGCGCCATGCGTCTGCTGCACAGCAAAGGCATCATTCACCGGGACCTGAAGCCCCAGAACATCTTGCTGTCCAACCCTGGTGGGCGCCGCGCCAACCCCAACAACATCCGCGTCAAGATCGGTGAGGCCAGGGCTGGCCTGGGGGCTGGGGAGTGGGGGGGTGGGGGCTGGGGCCGCCCTCCTCACACACAAACCTTCCCCCCCCGCCCCGCAGCCGACTTCGGGTTCGCTCGGTACCTGCAGAGCAACATGATGGCGGCCACGCTGTGCGGCTCCCCCATGTACATGGTAGGCGGGCCACCTCCGCCCCGGGCCCCGTGGGAGGGACGTGAGTCATGACCCACCCCTGTCCCCCGCTGCACATGGGGGGGGCAGTCTGCGTGGCTGGGCCGCTGTTCTCGATGACACCTGTGGCACTTGGGTGCCAGCTGGCTCGCGTCTCTGATGGGCTGGTGTGGACACAAGACTCGGGTCACGGAACGCTGTGTCCATCTCGGCCACGGAGCTGACCTGTATGCTTTGCACCTGTAGGCCCCCGAGGTCATCATGTCCCAGCATTACGACGGGAAGGCGGACCTGTGGAGCATCGGCACCATCGTGTACCAGTGCCTGACGGGGAAGGCGCCCTTCCAGGTGAGCGAGCCCCAGGTCAGGTGTGGGCCCAGCGCCACTTTCCATCCTGCACCTGATGCTTGGCTCTGGGTCCCAGCTCGGCCACCGAGCACCGCAGGCTGGCAGCCTTTGCTCTCAGGAGTCAGGTGGTCTCGTGGCTCTTTAGCATACAGTCCTGTGGGGCCCCGTCCTGCTCTGGGCCAAGCTGGAGTCCGTGAGGTCCAGCGTTCATCTGCGTGTGCCCAGCCTGTCTGAACCCAGCCTTGTGCCCTCCCTCCTGCCCATGCCCTGTTGGCATGAGGCGCTGAACAGGAGTTAGGCACTGAGGGGCACCACGTGTGAAAGCAGTGACTGGGTTGGCAGTGGGGCTGCGGAGGGCCGGGGGCTCTGAGCCGCGCTGTGCCAGGCTGCACATCCCGTCATGACTTCTGGCTTGATGGCACAGCTCTTCGCTGTTGCCGCCTGGTGACCTCGGCTGGCCCCTAGCTCCCTGTACCCCCGTCTGCCGTTCCCTCCCTATGTGAGCATGCGGGGGGTTGTCTCTCGCTTTCAACCCTAGAGGGTTGGGTGGTCTCCTGCTCTTGGCAGCTCACTGGCGCCAGCACCGCGGCCACGAGCAGTGAGCACAGATGGCTGACCGTACACGTGCCCGCCAGGTGCTCCCCGGGGGTACGGTGCCCACAGGGAGGGGAAAGCTGGTGCTGGGGTTCTCTGCTGGGGTGGGGTGCTGGGACTGTTGTTTTCTTTCAAAACGCAAATGTCCAGTCCCACCAGGTACCCAAGACCACCCTAACCAGTCTGCCGTGGGTGGGAGGGAGGCCTGGCCACCGTTATGTGGTCCCTGTGGTCTGCAGCCTGGTTGGGGCAGAGGATGGAGGCCATCCCTGGGAGCACGGAGTGCCTGCAGTGCTTGGTCCAGGGCCCCAAGCTCTGGCCTGCTGTCTCAGCTGGGGGGGCCTCGCGTGGGGCTTAGAGGCTCTGAGGGGTGCTCACGCTGCCGTCCCTTGCCAGGCCAGCAGCCCCCAGGACCTTCGCCTCTTCTACGAGAGGAACAAGACGCTGGTCCCCACGTAAGTGCCTGGTGTTGCCCGCTCCCACCCCCCTTCCACTGACCCCGGGGTAGGCAGCAGGGTCATGTTGTCTCTGCCCTGCCAGCATCCCCAGGGAGACGTCAGCCCCGCTGAGACAGCTGCTGCTTGCCCTGCTGCAGCGGAACCACAAGGACCGCATGGACTTCGGTGAGTGGCCCCTGGCCGGCCCGCAGCGCACATCTGCTTCTCACGGCCCACCGGGTCGGGGCATGGCCTCCTGGCCGCGTGCCGCTCTCCCTCGGCTCCCGGGCACCCACAGGCTGTGAAAACCCTGGTTTTACAATGGGAACTGGGGCCACTAGGAAAACCCATCAGGCGGGGTGGGCGTGCTCAGCCGGCGGTGTGAGGAGCCACCTGCTGGGGCCGTCTCTGTTTCCGTCTGCGCGGGTTCCCATGCCTGTGGGAGTTCAGGCCCCAGCGGCACTGGGGGGCCAGAGCCCTGGGCTCAGGGCTCTAAGGCCTCTTCGGGCCTTCTCCTGCAGACGAGTTCTTCCATCATCCTTTCCTCGACGCCAGCGCCACTGTGAAGAAGTGTGAGTCCCCTGAGGGTCCTGGTGCCCCCGAGGCCCTGGCGGAGCTGCATGGGGGCTCAGGTGCCACACCTGCTGGGGGGGTGGGAGCCTCCTGTGTGCTGACCTGTGCCCTCCGCCAGCCCCTCCCGTGCCTGTGCCCTCGTACCCGAGCTCGGGCTCCGGCAGCAGCTCCAGCAGCAGCTCCGCCTCGCACCTGGCCTCCCCGCCGGTGAGTCCCCCACTGGCGGCCGGGCCTGGGCTTCTACCCCTGGGGTTCGTCCCCACGCTGGGGACACTACGCCCTAGGACCCCCGCTGTTCGCACTAGCTGTGGACAGACAAGCTCGGGTTGTGGAAGGTCAGAGCGTGACGAGTTGGGAGAAGCGCTCGTACCCCCCACTGCCAGCCCTTGTGTCCCAGAGGCCGGCCTGCTAGGTGTGGTCTGTGCGTGCTGGCCTGTGCATGCGTGGGCACGGGAGTGGGGTGGTCCTGCGACCTGGAGCACACCCTCGCACGTGTCCCCGGCACCTCGGCATGGGTTGGGGGGGCCCTGCCGAGGGCACACACGGACCTGAGGTGCCAGGGCCTGTGGTGCAGAGGATGGCTCTCGGCCACGGCGAAGGCAGATGTGGGATGCCTTCTGTCCTGAGTGCGGAGCGGCCCTTTCAGGCCTCTGCAGGACTGATGGAGATGCAGGGGACGTCTCCCCGGGAACTCTGGGAGCTGGGTGGCTGCGTCCGGGGACTGTCCCTGTGGGGCCCAGCTGGTGGTAGACCATGCGGGAGCTGATGGGGAGGAGGTTGTGCTGAGCCCCATGTCAGCACCCTGCAGCCCTGGTTTGCCCCGAGTCTCAGTGACCTCTCCTGTGACCCCAGTCCCTGGGAGAGATGCAGCAGCAGCTGCAGAAGACGCTGACGTCCCCGGCCGACGGTGGCTTCCTGCAGGGCTCCCGTGGCTCTGGTGGCAGCAGCAAGGACTCATCCTGCGACACGGACGACTTCGTCATGGTCCCGGCCCAGTTTCCAGGTCAGAGGCTGGGAGTGGCTTCTGTGTGAGCGTGTGTGCGCCTGCCTGCACGTGTGTGTCTATGCACGTGCGTATGCTTGTAAACCTGTCACTGTGTGTGTCCTCGGTGGTTCTGGGAGCTTCCCTGCCAGGTCGGCTTGGCTAGGGAGTCCAGACCACGTCATCTCACGTCTCCATGGCTGGTCTGTACACTGAGTCCCTGGGCTCTGGCCCTGCTCTCTGGTCTCTGCTCTTAGGGAGGCAGCTGCTGTCCGTTTAGTGTTTGTCAAGTACTGGTTCTCAGGCTTCTGCGACCGGCCCAGCCCCTCCCAAAACTCTGTCCCAGGGTCTGAAGTTCCTTTTGTGACCCTGGGCATTGACGGTTCCTTTCGCTGCCCGTGGCCATCCCATGACTCTGGGGATGGGTCAGGGCCAGGAGGGCAGTGATCGGGAGACAGGGCCATGAGAGAGGTTGATGGGGCAGGTGTGGGACCCAGGGTCCCAGAGGAGGGGTCAGGCCCAGGCTGGGAGCCGCAGGTGCCTGGCCTGGAGGTGGCTGAAGGGTGGAACACGGAGGGCACACCCAGGGTCTGCTTCAGAGCCTGAGTTCGGGTCAGGTTGGGGAACAGAAGTGGGGACTTGGGAGTGCTGCCTCTTCCCCACACCGCCTGGAGCCTCCCCCCGCCATCTGGAATGGAGTGTGGGGCCATCAAGGAGCTGTGGTGGGTGAGGTGGCCCGGGAGCATGGAGTGGACACTTGTCCTGGTGTGAGAGGTACCCAGGCCCAGCCTCACCCGTATCCCATCTGCAGGTGACCTGGTGGCTGAGGCAGCTGGTGCCAAGCCTCCTCCGGACAGCCTCATGTGTAGCGGGTGAGCCCCCTGCCCTGCCCACTGCTGGTTTGGGGAGAGGGACATGCTGGCTCTTGGCATTTGTTCCTTTGTCCTGTCTATGTTGTTTGTCCATACCAGGAGCTCACTGGTGGCTTCTGCTGGCCTGGAGAGCCGTGGCCGGACCCCATCTCCTTCCCCGCCCTGCAGTAGCTCTCCCAGCCCCTCAGGGTGAGCAGGGCCTGGGGTGGGGTAGGGCTGTGAGGGGCCCCAAGCTGCGGTTAGGGCCCCCAGCCTCAGGTGGGGCTTCGCAAGACCTTTGTCCACGGGTCCTGTCCTTGTTCAGGCCTTGCAGGTCACTGGCTTCTCGTGGGTGGCCCAGGATGGGGGGCTATGGCAGGAGGGATGTAGATCTGGGGGGTGGGGAGGGAGCTGCGGGGCCAGCTGGGCTCAGGGCCCCAGAGCCAAGCGGGGGAGCAGCCCTAGTTGGCCTTCTATCACATGTCCCTGTGGCACAGGGTGCTTGGGATGGGGCGTGAACAGTTCCGGGTCCCGGAATGGTGGCCTGTGCAGAGCTGAGGAAGCAGGCGGCCTCCGTGGCCTCTGCCGCCTGGTGTTTGGGACTGGGGTTCAGCTCAGTCTGCTGTTTCTGTTGACAGCCCCTCCCTCCTCCCTGCTTCTCTTCCCACTGCAGCCGGGCCGGCCCCTTCAGCAGCAGGTGCGGCGTGTCCGTCCCCATCCCAGTCCCCACGCAGGTGCACAACTACCAGCGCATTGAGCAGAATCTGCAGTCGCCTACCCAGTACCAGACCACACGGTGAGCATAGCCCCCTCTTACCTCTGACCCCCCGTGACTGACTATAGAGGTCCCCCCTGGGGGCAAAGGGTGTGTCCTAGAGAACTACAGTGAGAACACCCCCGCCATAGCTTCCTTGGAGTGATACAGGGTTGTCCCACATGTACAGTTGTGCAGGCTGTGCACTGTGTAAATCTCATTACTACTGTTTTAGGATGTGTGGAGGTTTTAGGTTTATTAGGATAGCTTTTTGGTAGATGTTAGCAAGGTATCTTGGATTTACAAAACTCAGCATTGACTTTTTTAGAAAAAGATTTTATTTATTTGGTAGAGAGAAGGAGAGACAGAAAGGGAACACAAGCTGGGGGTGGGGGAAAGTGGAAAAGGGGAGAGGCAGGCTCCGCACTGAACAGGGAGCCAAAGGCAGGGCTCAGTCCCAGGACCCCAGGATCATGATCTGAGCCGAAGGCAAACACTTAACAGCTGAGCCACCCAGGCACCCCTCAGCATTGATTTTTGACAAATTTCAACAAATGCTACAGGAGAAGATCCCCTCTTTTTTTTTTAATTCATGGAGAGTTCCTGTGGACTAGTGGTTGGCCTGGCAGGAACTGTGACCACAGGTTTGAGGATGCCCAAGGGAAACATTGGGGTTCTTTGCTGCCTACTTATCGCTCTAGGCAGGAGGGTGAGCAGTCCATTCTCCTTGGAGGCTCCTGAGAGAGACCTGTTATTTGGATGGAGGATTGAGCCATCTGGTATGGGCATGACCCTCACCTTGTGTGGCTGGGGCCTCACCTCCCCACGCCTTCCTGTCCCCAGGTCCTCCGCCATCCGCAGGTCAGGCAGCACCAGCCCCCTGGGCTTTGCCCGCCCCAGTCCGTCCCCGCCGTCCTACGCTGAGCACGGCACCACCTTGGCCAGGAAGCTGTCCCTGGGAGGGGGCCGGCCCTATACACCGTCTCCACAAGGTGAGCCTGGATGCCCCCGGTGGGAACTGCTGAAGGGGGTCCCCCCTGGGCTGGAGTGTCAGGGGAGGGGACTGGCTCTCTCGGGGCGTGACCCTGGTGACCCCTCTCTCTCCTCAAGTTGGAATCCTCCCCGAGCGGCCTGGCTGGAGCGGGGCACCCTCCCCGCAAGGAGCCGAGATGCGGGGAGGCAGATCCCCTCGTCCGGGTAGGTGCGGCCGTGGCCCTGGGCAAGGGCTAGCTTCCTGCTTGCGACGGTCACTGGTGCACATGGAGGCAGGGTTGGGTCCTGGGGGATTGTTCACAAGTTCAGGCTGTGGCTGTGGAGGGGTACGGTGGGCCTCGGTGTCCGCGCCCACCTTGCGGTGTGACTGGGTAGGGGCAGTAGGCTGGACTGGAGGGCCTCACACATGCTCCTCTTGCTGCTCGGCTGGGCGGGCCCTACGCGGGAGTGACCTGGCTTTGTCCTATCCTGCCAGGCTCCTCTGCACCGGAGCACTCTGCGCATGCTGCTGGGCTGGGCTGTCGCCTGCACAGCGCTCCCAACCTGTCCGACCTGCACGTCGTCCGCCCTAAGTTGCCCAAGCCCCCCACGGACCCCCTGGGGGTGGCATTCGGCCACCCCCAGTCCAGCCCCCCACAGCCGGCCCACGGGCTACAATCCTGCCGACCCCTGCGAGGCTCACCCAAGCTGCCTGACTTCCTGCAGCGCAACCCCCTGCCCCCAATCCTCGGCTCCCCCACCAAGGTAACGGGCCCAGAGCTGGGGGGGCAGGGAGGGAGCGGCCAGTGTGGCTCTGCCCCGAGGACCCCTTCCCGCCCGTCTGGCAGGATGCCCGTGGGACATGCTTCGGGCCCCAGGAACGCAAGTGCCCCATGGGCTCTGGCTCTGCTCGCGCCAGCTGCTTAGCTCAGTCTCCGTAGCGTTCTCGTTGGAGAAGCAGGGCGGGACCCGTAGCGACACGCGGGGTTTCTGAGGGCACACGTGTGCCTGGGTGTTGGGCATGTGTGGGGCGCGTATTGCTTTCCTGCAGCAAACGAGGTCTCGCGCCTGTGCTGTGGACACCCGGTGATGGAGGTGTGGGGCCACGGCTGCTCCGGGCTGTTCGCGCCCTCGCGGCAGTCCATCTTAGCTCCCCGCCCGCTCTCCTAGGCCATGCCTGCCTTCGACTTCCCCAAGACCCCCAGCTCCCAGAACTTGCTGGCCCTCCTGGCCCGGCAGGGTGTGGTCATGACCCCGCCACGGAACCGGACGCTGCCGGACCTCTCCGAGGCAGGACCGTTCCAGGGGCCACAGCTGGGCCCCGGCCTGCGGCCCGCCGAGGACAAGAGCCCCTTTGGCAGGTGCGTGGGAAGGGACTGTCCTGACTGGACTCGCCCGCCCTTGGCAGGTGCGTGGGAAGGGACTGTCCTGACTGGACTCACCTGCCCGCGCGCTGGGAAGAGAAGCTGGGAGTGGACCCGCGTGTGGGTAGGGCCGCCGTCGGCTCCGCCCCCCTCTGGGAGCCTTGCTGAGCTCACCTGGCGTGTCTGTTCAGGGGGCCACTATCAGTGTCCAGGGTGGGCAGGACATGGCCAGCCGACAAGAAGCCGTGTGTGCCTGTCGTGCCGTGAGTTAGGGAGGGCTGTCTGGGCATTGCGGGCCAGGGCCCGGGCCATCTTCTCAAGGCTCCTCGCCCTACAGGTCCCTCAGTACTGGCCGCCTCACTGATCTGCTCCTTAAGGCTGCGTTTGGGACCCAGGCCCCTGACTCGGGGAGCACGGACAGCCTGCAGGAGAAGCCTATGGAGATCGGTGGGTGGGCGGGCAGCCTCCCCGGGGTGGGGGTGGGCGGGGACCCCCAGGCGCTGAGCCTTTCCTCCTGCTCTTGCAGCGCCCTCTGCTGGCCTCGGAGGGAACCTGCACCCAGGAGCCCGTGCTGGGGGGGCCAGCAGCCCGTCTCCCGTGGTGTTCACTGTGGGCTCGCCCCCCAGCGGGACCACGCCACCCCAGGGTCCCCGTGCCAGGGTGTTCTCAGGTGAGGACTGCACGGTGCTCCTCCAGGTTGCAGGGCATAAGTGGCAGTGCGGGTCAGAAGGCAGAAGTGTGAGGCAGTGTCGGTCTTACTCTTAGAGCAGGCCCAGTGCCCACAACACCCGCGCCTGCAGCCACCCTGGGAAGGCTGTCCTCGTGGGTCAGGGGTCCCGGGCTCGGGCGCCCACAGCTCCTGCCTCAGGACTGGAGAGCCCACCTGCTGCGGCCAGGAGGCAGGAAGGACAGGGCATCCGCGGTGGGCTCTGCTCGGGGGTGGGGGAGGAGTGTAGACCTGGGTGTGCAGAACAGGTGGGAAGGGGTTTGCGTTGGGTAGTTGAGAGGAGTGTGTCCTGAATCGGCTGCCCGCGGGCCTCTCCCTGCAGTGGGCTCCTCGAGTTCCCTTGGCTCTGCCGGCTCCTCCTCTGCCCGTCACCTGCCCCCCGGGGCCTGTGGGGAGGGTGCCCCGGACGCTCCGGCCCCTGGCCACTGCTGCGGCTTTGCCGACCCTGTCACCGCCAACCTGGAGGGGGCTGTGACCTTCGAGGCCCCCGATCTCCCTGAGGAGACGCTGATGGAGGTGAGGGCCCCCAGGCATGGGCGGCGGGTCCTGGTTTGGGGAGGGTGGGGGTGGTGGCTGGGCTGCGGGTCCTGGGGAGGGGAGGGTGGGGAGGTCTGGGGAAGTGCCCACCACCTCCACCACCTTGATACCCCCCCCCCAGCAAGAGCACACGGAGATCCTGGGGAGGGGAGGGTGGGGAGGTCTGGGGAGGTGCCCACCACCTCCACAGTCTTGACCCCCCCCCCACCAGCAAGAGCACACGGAGATCCTGCACAGCCTGCGGTTCACGCTGGTCTTTGTCCAGCACGTGCTGGAGATCGCGGCCCTGAGAGGCAGCGCCAGCGACACAGCCGGGGGGCCTGAGTCGCAGCTGCAGGAGAGCGTGGTGGCCGACCAGATCAGCCTGCTGAGCCAGGAGTGGGGGTGCGTGGGCCCTGCAGGGCCGGGGCGGGGGCGGCGGAGGGGCCGGGGGCAGCCCGGGCTCCAGGCCCCTGCGCCTCCTGACGCGACGTGTCTGTGGCCCCACAGCTTTGCGGAGCAGCTGGTGCTCTACCTGAAGGTGGCTGAGCTGCTGTCCTCGGGCCTGCAGACCGCCATCGACCAGATCCGGGCCGGCAAGCTGTGCCTGTCTTCCACCGTGAAGCAGGGTGAGTGCTCGCCCTCAGGGGCTGCGACGGAGGCCGGAGAGTTGGCCAGTTGCGGAAGGTCGGGGAGAGGCGGGGGGAAAGGGAGGAAAGGCCTTCGGAGGAGTCGCCGGGAGCAGCCAGGGCTCCCGGGGATGGAAGGGGCCGCGCTGACGGAGGCTGTGCTCGCCCTGGCCCTGCCCACAGTGGTGCGGAAGCTGAACGAGCTGTACAAGGCGAGCGTGGTGTCCTGCCAAGGGCTTAGCCTGCGGCTGCGGCGCTTCTTCCTGGACAAGCAGCGGCTGCTAGACCGCATCCAGAGTGTCACCGCCGAGAAGCTCATCTTTAGCCACGCGGTGCAGACGGTAGGCCTGCACGGCGGGCGGGAGGGCCACCGCTTGCCAGGCTTGAGGCCAGGGTCCCCCCACTAGTGCTCGCCCCTGGGCTCCCCAGGCCCAGCCCGTGCCGGGAGCCTGTCTGGGCTTCGGGTCCAAGGAGGAGGCCTGGTGCTCAGGCCTTACGGTGGGTGTGTGTTCCCCGGGAGCGGCCAGGGCAGGCGGCCTCGTTATAGCGTGCACCACAGGAGCCCAGGCCTCCTCTGCTCCCGCGGCTTCTGGGTCTTGGTGCCTAGGATGAGTTGGCTGTGAGGTGGAGGCTGTGTTTGACAGTGTTAGTTTATAGCATAAATGCGCAGGCACAGCAAGCGTCTGAGGGAGAGCGTGCCGCCTCCTCTGCAGGGGTGATGGGCGGCGAGGTAGTCTGGCACAGCTGGTGCTGCCAGCGGGTGCTCTCCACGGCAGCAGCGGCCCGGGGCCGCACGAGTCTCCATTCAGGCCCCCATTGGCCCTGGTGGTCCTCACCGTGGGCCATGTCCTCATTTGAGCCGCCCGCTGTGTGTGCGGCACCAGTCGGTCCTTGGTCCCTGTGTGGCTGGTGCCAGGCTTGGGCCAGCTGGCTCAGCCCCGGCCTCCCCCGAGCAGGTGCAGTCTGCCGCCTTGGACGAGATGTTCCACCGTCGGGAGGACTGCGTGCAGCGCTACCACAAGGCCCTGCTGCTCATGGAGGGGCTGCAGCACATCCTCAGCGACCAGGCGGATGTGGAGAACATCGCCAAGTGTGAGTGCCGCTGGGCCGGCCGGGGGGAGGCCGCAGGGGAGAGGTGGGGAGCAGGGGCCTCCTAACCCAGCCGTCCCTCGTTGCAGGCAAGCTGTGCATCGAGCGGAGACTCTCGGCGTTGCTGAGCGGCCTCTGTGCCTGACCTGCAGGGTGCCTGGCTCATGGGGCCCCAGGGGCTGGATCTCCTCTGCCAGTCCCCCAGGCTGATGGGCGGCCGGCTGGCCGGGCTCAGTGGAACGAGCCTGCGGCCGTGGTGCTGCCTGCTGCTGCCTGGGAGAGGCCGGGGGGCTCCCGAGCCAAACGGCTGAACTCTGTTGTGGGGGGTTTGGGGCGCCCGAATCTGGGCGATCCCCCCACCGCCTCACCGGCGGGCTGGGCTCCCGGCCACCTTGAAGGCAGGTGGGTACATGCAGCCGGTCCCCACCCCCAGCCAGACCCTGGGGCAGCCCTGATGCCGGCTGCCGTGCTGAGGACAGGCGGAGACACTGAGACAGCTCTGCCCAGGAAAAGGTGCGGTCGCCTGGTTCCCCTCCTTTCCTGCGACCACCCACCCAGCTTTGTGAATCACGGAGCACTTTACGCAGGCGCAGGGCTGCCTGCTGCACTAGGAGGCGTGTGTACATACTTATATACATATATACATATATAAATAACCACGCGAGCGTGTGTGCTGTCTGCCCGGACCTTCCCGGGGAGACACAGACGTTTTATTTAAATGTTCTTTTAGGGACGGACAGTATGAAGCACCAAGCTTTCTGAACCCAGAACAGACGTTGAAGTCTATTACACTTTACTCCTGAAACGTGTCTTATTTTTCTGCAGCTCTTTTTTTTAACAAAAGAAGAAAATTTGTAGAAGTTTAGGGTTTGTTTTGGAAGCGGGAGGCAGGATGGGGTGGGTCCTCAGTGTCACGTGGAGGCCGGTGGTGGCTGAGAGGGCAGCCCTATCCCCCCCCCCCCACGCTGACCTGGAGGCGGTGGGTGGGAGAGGGGGATGGTGTGCAAGGCCTCCCGTCAGCTTTCACAGAGGGTTTGATGCCAAAGTCGTATCCCACCCCCAGGCTGGGTCTTGGCTGCTCGGGGGGGGGGGCCGGCAGGGAGGCTCTGCCTCGCCCCCCTCATTGTGTCCTGGAGAGGGCAGACGAAGCCTGCCTGGGTCCAGGCGCCCTGGGCGAGGGGTTTAAGGTCTTACATCAAGACACGGACATCTGTGTGTTCCTTTCTCTGTAATACTTGAAATCTCGGAAGCAGCCCTGTGAGTCGTTCCCTCGCCGGCCTGTGGCTCTGTTCTTGCTGCCGGAACCCGTGCGTATTTACTGCTTCACGGTCGGCTCGGACTCAGGCCACCAGGAGGCTGTGGCCACGGGAGGGAACGCAGGCCGCAGGCCGCCTCGCCGCCCGCCTCCCCGCGTGCTGTCGCCCGTCCTGTTTCCACCACTCGGCATCCGACCCTTGGTCTACTTCAAAAGAGTTTCGTGTGATTCCCCCACTCCCTCCATTTGCGTTACATTGTGTAATACCGATTGAAGGAAATAAACCTTTGGAACTGAGCGGGAGTGGCGTCTCTAGTGTGTCTCCCGCTGTGGCCCGGGGCCTGCAGCAGCGCGAGGAGTCACCCTGTCCGTGACCCCCAGGGCGCAGACCCCTGGGCTACACTAGGTGCTCTGACGTGAGTTTAGGGCTGCGTCGACCCCCACCACCAGGAACACAGTCTTAGTCCCTGGGGGGGCACCTGGGGGGCGTATGGGTTGAGAGGGGAGCCAGCCCTGGACTGCGTGGCCGCCATGCCACGTCGGCCCGTCTCTGGGGCAGGAGGGTCTGCTTTCTCTGCGTCCTCCCTGATGCCCTCTGTCTGGGTCGCGGCCGTGCTGCTGTTGGAGCAGTGTTTCCTTCATGCCTGGTGACCTCCAGCACGGTCTCTGGTGCTTGTCGGCCGTTTCTAGGTAGGTTAGGTGCAGGATTTGCATTCTTAAGACTGTATACTGTTTCTGTGAGTTTTAAAAATAACTCATTACCAGAAAGGCTAACCACAGGATTACATGAAAGTGCACGGAGAGCGAGCCTTGGAGGCGGCAGAGCGTGGGGCCTGGGAAGGCGGGGCCCTGGGGCTTCGGGTCCTGCCTGCCTTCCTGGCGTGTGCGTGCAGTCTCTGCAGACAGGAAGGGGTGTGCGGGTGGGAAAGGGGCCGGGAGGCGGAGTCCCTTCCGCTCTGTGGGGCTCCTGGTCTATCAGTAAGTGGAAGAAATGCCCAGAAGATTAAGAGAATTGTGGCATTCTGTTGCTCAATTAATAGGCTTCAGAGTTCCATTTCCTCCTCTCTCCTGTCCCCGTTTGCGCACACCGCGTGGCGGTGGGGGAGCCTACATGGACGCTCGACATCACCCTGGTCCGTGGTTGCTGCTGTCCGTTCTGTGGGCTGACACCTGTGCTCGCATGTCCCCCACACCGTCACATGGAACTTCACTGCCCACCATCCTCTCTTCTGCCTCCTCCTTCCCTTCCCCAACCCGTGGCAAACACTGGCCTTTTTATTCCCTCTATAATCTCAACTTCTCTAGAATGTCATAGATTTGGAATCCGTTTGCGGCCTTTTCAGACTGGCTGCTTTTCACATAAGACACATCTGAGGTTTCTGCGTCCATAGCTCATTTCCTTCTAGTCATGAAGAATACTGTATAGTTTGGGTGGGTTACTTAATCCAGTCACCCAGCTGAAGGACACCTCAGTGCTTCCAAGTTTGGGCAGTTACGGCTAAACGGCTAGAAAGCTCCCTGTGTAGGAACCTGGTGGTGAGGGCTGGGCGTGGGGTGTGGCAGCTCTGCAGGAGGGGCTGGCTCTCTCCTTTCTGTCCAAGGACCTCCCCGTTCCCCAGCTCATTCCAGGCATGTTTACCGTTGCCCAGGCTCACAGGGGCCCTTGGCCAGGAGGATCAGGCTCAGGCTGGCCACCGTCATTGGCGGGGTCTGAGGAGGGAGCAGGTGTGGTGGTCTGCTCCCCACATGACAGGTGACTGGGAGCCTCTCTCCCCTGACAGTGGGCAGTTCTGACCTGTCACAGTGCTTACCTTGCTGCCAGTTTCACTCCTACAAGGACCCTGGCATAGGCTCCTGTAGGGACACATGCCTCCATCCTTCCCACCTGATGTAACTTGGCTGGGGGCTTCCCGGTCAGGGGCTGCACATGGCATAGTCCGGGGGGGTGTTGGGTCTGCCCCGCCACAGCTCTCCACATGGTCTGGGTCTCTGTTCCAGCACTAAGGAACCCTTGGCTCCCATGCGGTGGGGAGGGAGAGCCTCAGCGTCCAGCCTTCCTGGCTCCCTGGCTGGGTAAGTCCTCTGCCCATCTGGAGCCGTCCCAGTTGTCCAGGTCCTGGATTCCTGTGGATGCCTCCAGCCTGGAACTCCATGTCTATCTCACTATGCTGGGTGGGGCCTGTGGCCTCAGAGCTGCTAGGGCTGGGAGGGAACATTCCCGGCAGAGGGAATCTTCCAGAAGAGGGTGGGGGATGCCCTGTGTGAAGGTTGGGTGCTCTGTGGAGCTGGCCCAATGCTTCCTAAAGCTGCTGAGCCACCAGAGCTCCCCAGGTCACCCAGCCCTTGCACAGAGACGCTGCGCTCCCCCCTCCCGCAGAGGGGAGAGCTGTCCTGGGGGTCCGTTAGCACGGGTGAGCATCCCCTCCCGCCAGCATGATCTTGTCAACCCATCCTCGCTTTTGAGCTTAGAGGAGCCTGGTTATGGTGTGGTCCATGGAGACTCTTGTCAGCAACCACCAACCCACTTTCTGGGTCCTGGCCTGCCTGTTATGGACGCTGCGTATGAATGAGGACCTACACTACGTGGGCCTCTGATCAGGTCTCTTTAACTGCGGGCAGTTTCCAAGACTCACATCGTGGGCGCACCAGTGCTTCAGCTCCTTTTGCACAAGACGTTTATGGCTTTGGGATGCCCCGTTTTATTTTTCTGCTTGGGTTGGTCACTGGGCGTCCCCCCACGAGAACGTGAGCTCCCGAACTGCTCTGGTCAATTCGCCGGCTCCGGAAGGAGACTGGTCCGTGCCCACCCGGGCGCCTCCTGCCGCCTCCCAAGCCCTCCCGCAAGGTCTTCCCCAGGACCGCGGCCCCCAGGTGTGAGCCGTGAGCAGACGCTCGGCCACCGCGGATCCGGGAGACGCAGAGTCCGGGGAGGCGCTGGTGTGCTCGCCTCCCGGGCAGGGGCTCACGCCCACCCCTGGGGTCCACCTCAGGAACGCGGCGCCCGCGGCACTAGTCCTGCCGAACACCTGTCCGCACCTGCTCGCTCCCGGGAGCCGCGCGCGCTCGGGCGGCGCGGCCCCGCCCCCCGCCCCGCTCAGTAGGCCTTTAGGCCGCGCCCGGCCGCCGTCGGGCGCGCGTTGCACTTCCGCCTTCGCCCACGTGGTCCGGCTCCGGCTCAGTGCGCGGCGCTGTGAGTGGGGTCGGGTGGGAGCGCGTCGGTCTCGTTGCGGGAGAGTGGCCGGAGGCTCCCGGACTCCCGAGGGGGAAGCCGGCCGGGCGGGGCGGGAGGGCCGGGAAAGGCCGGCGCCGCCGGGGAGGTCGGCCGCCGGCCGCGGGGGCGCCCCGGGGGAGGGGACCGGGCCCGTGCCACCCCCGCCCCCAACACCCCGCTCCCCGCCGCGCATGGCGGCGCCCAGTCTGCGGGCGGCGGCCGGGGCCCTGCGGAGAGCCTGCGGAGCGTGGAGCCCGCGCCTGGGACGGCGTCTGCTCTGGTAACCGCGGCGCGTCGCCCGGGCCCCCGCTGTCCAGGCCGCGCGCCCCGGCCGCACGCTCACTCGGGCCGTGTCCTTGCAGCTCGCCCCCCATGGCCGGGAACGTGCAGGCCCCCGCCCCCGTGGGCGCAGCGCGGGAGCAGGACCGGAAGGCCCGGAGCGGCTGGCAGGGCGGGGCGCGGGTCTGGGAGGACGCGGAGCAGCAGGCCAAGAAGCTCAGGAGCAGTCCGGACGGGGAGCTGCAGAGGAAGCTGCCCAAGCGGAAGATCGTGCTGCTCATGGCCTATTCCGGGAAGGGCTACCACGGCATGCAGGTGAGGGCGCCGCGCGGGGCTGCCTCCGACCGGCGTCAGGCTGGGACCTCGCGGTGACAGCTGTCCAGGCTAGGGCAGCGCAGGACACGGGGCCTTGCTCTTCAGGGTGAGCTCCCTGGGCGGGGTTTCCGCTGGAGGCCTGCTGTGGCCCGGGGAGGTGCCCCGCTGGGATTGTGTCCGAACAGCCTGTGGCTCCAGGCCCTGACGGAGGCTCTCCCTGCTCCTCTCTCCTGGAGGCCGAGGGGCTGGGAGAGGCAGCCGCCGGTGTCTGTCAGGCGCTGGAGCTCAGAGGCTGTGGGGAGGTAGAATTCTCAGAATTCCTGGAAGTCGGGGTGTGGGTGCCACACGCGTGCATGACGGCTCTCCTTGGTCCCACAGCGTGGGTCCCGTGTTCCGTAAGCTTGCTGAAGCTTGACTCGGGCATGGAGTTGAGTGCCGTGCCCGGAGCATCCAACACAACCGTCCTGGGCGCTCCAGGTGTTGTAATAGCTCTCACTACGAACAGCGGGAGACCTGCGGCTCTTCCGGTCTTATTTTAGGGAAGAACGTGGGAGGCACCGGGGAAACTGATGTGGCATGAGGTCAACTGTGCCATCGGTGACTGCCTCAGGAACGGAGGGACCACCCCTGCTGCTCCGTGTGGGCCGTGAAATGCTTTTGTGACTGTGATGTTGACGTGCATTTTTGCCTTAGGCGCCGTCTCGAGAGCTTTGCTGAGGCTCACTGGTTTTTCCTTGCCTCAGTTTCCCCGTTAGGGAAATGCGGGGGGTTGGAGAGTGACAGTGGCTCTCTGTGCTGATGGAAGGACATTCTGAGAGCCTGGCACTTGGCCGCCTTCCCCACTGCCGCATCTCCGTCCCCCGCGTGGGTGTTTGAGCAGCATTTATGACTTGATCGTCTCAGGGAGGGCTGTAAGGTAGACCTTGGGAAGAACTTCCTCTGTGGTGATCGCGGCGGACTGCTCGTAGGCCCTCATGTGCCTGGTGTGCTGGAGCTTTCTCTGAGGAGCATCCTCGTGGTCGTGTGACCTCATGGATGTGCAGGGGCCTGCAGGCACTGGGTTGTGGTTGGGGCACGCTGAGAGGGTAGCGTTAGGGGGTTCTAGAAGCAGTGGCTGTCCTCTTTCCCTGGCACACAGTAGTTCCAAGAAGTTGTACAGGCTGGTCACGTGAGCTGAAGGGGTGCCGGGATGCCAAGGCTGGGTTTCTTGCTTTGAGTCAAGGGGTCTGCCTCCCCATGGTCATAACGGGGGGGGGTGTCCCTCTGTGGCCTGCTGCTGCTGACCAATGGGTCTCTGGTAGGAGGGGCGCTGGTTTCAGATCCGACCAGGTGGGAGGCAGCGGTGTCTCAGGTGACACCCTTTGTGGGCTGTTTGACCTGGCTGCCCAGGGTGGGAAGTTTCTAGAGACTGGGTATGCTTAGGTAACTCTCTCACTCGCTATGGAACAGGGAGGTGCCGTGGTGTGTCCCCAGGGCCACAGGTGTGGGCCCAGCACCCAGGCACCCTACAGGAAGCAGTGTAGGCCCGGGGCTCCCATCTGTGGGCAGTGACTGAGTGAAGAAAACTGGTTTTCTCCTCTTTCCTTCAGAGGAACGTTGGGTCCTCACAGTTCAAGACCATCGAAGATGACTTGGTGTCTGCTCTGGTCCTGTCGGGTTGTATTCCTGAAAATCACGGCGAAGACATGAGGAAAATGTCCTTCCAACGGTGTGCCCGGACAGATAAGGTAGGCACTCCCTGCCCCTCCCCTGCAGGTTTGAGCAGCAGCACCTGCGGCTGCCAGTCTGTGCGACACACCACAGGTCAGTGTCTGTTTGTCAAGACTGTTTTCTGTGAACGACAGACGCGTGGACCAAACTAGCCAACGGGGAAAGAAAGCCATTGTCTCGTGTCACTAAGAAGTTCTCTGAGCATTTCCAGGCTGTGTGTGGCAGGATCTGGAGGCTCAGTGCTGCCCAGACTTCGTGTCTGTGCTGTTCTCTGTGGCTCCCGCAGGTGGCCACATGGTGGTCACAGTGTCCCCGCGACTCAGGCTTGATGGTACACATAGGATCGAGTGTCCTGTTTTCCAAGAGGAGAAAGGAAACAGATGACCCTGGTGTGAGTAATCGGTTTTATTTAACTTAGTTTATCCGAGATAGTCTCTTTTCCCTGTGTAATCAGCAGGAGCACAATCGGCAGATCACATTTCCCGTTCTGTGCGGGTGCGGGTGCGAGTGTGCGTGCGTGTTGCGGCTTGGTAGCCCACTACGTACTCCATACTCATGGTGCGTCACCGCTGCTCTGGCCGCGTCTCGGGGACTGGGGGCCTTCAGTGGCTGTGGCCCTGTGCTGTCCTTTCGGCCCTAAGATTGGGCCCCACTGCAGGGACTCACTGCCTCACACATCTGTCCCGGGCTCAGTCCTGGGTGGCGTGGCAGCCATGCCGAGTGGTCTCGTGTTCCTGGGTGTGGGTCTGGCACGGGCAGGAGGTCCCCAAGGGAGAGTGGAGGGGAGCTGGGCAGGCGGGTAGGCAGAGGCGCTAACCTCACGCTCCTCTCCAGTAGATAGGAAATGCAGAGTGCACCGTATGCCCTCTGTCCTGCTCTGCATTCCGGCTCTGAGCGGCTTCTGTGGTCACCTGAGGTCCCTCGGGGGTGTGACCCAGATATGGGCAGGTCAGGGTCCTGAGCAGCCGAACCATGGCCACGTCTGCAGGTACGAGATCCTCTGGGTTCAGGTGCTGGGCGGAGACTGCAGAAGAGGCACGTTGTACAGATAGCAGAGGACAAACACGGGGCTGCCAGTTTGCGTCTTGTAGGTGATGCAGTAACGTTTCTCACGGCTCAGGCTAGGGTCCTGTGGTTCCTTACAGTCTCCCTTTTCTCTTTAATTGTTCCAGTGACAGCTTTCTGGGAGTTTTCTAGGCCAGAGAAAAGCAGGTGTTTGCCTGAGCTAACAGTGGGGCTTAATCCGCTGTTGTTAGGATTGCGTTTAGATGCGTTTTCCTCTCCCAGTCTGGGGAACCCGGAGAAACCTGAAACTTCCCATATCAACGTCCTAGCTCGTCTCTCCACTTAATGCATCTGGTCCGATGGAGAAAGAAATGATAGCATTTTCTTAGTTTTTTTTTTTTTTTTAAGATTTTATTTATTTATTTGACAGAGATTACAAGTAGGCAGAGAGGCAGGCAGAGAGAGAGGAGGAAGCAGGCTCCCTGCCGAGCAGAGAGCCCGATGTGAGGCTCCATCCCAGCTCCTTGGGATCATGACCTGAGCCGAAGGCAGAGGCTTTAACCCACTGAGCCACTCAGGCGCCCCTTATTTCAGGTTTTTTAAGAAGTAGCTTTGTTGAGATACAGTCCACTCCTTACAGTTTGCCCACCCAGAGCGTGCGGGTCAGTGGGTTCAGGCGTGTTCAGAGCTCTGTGACCATGCCTGCGGCTGGTCTGGGGACACTTCCAGCTCCCCAGGAAGGACCCCAGGTCTGTTAGCTGTCTCCTGCGCCAGCAGCACGCCCAGAATGTTCTCATTTACACACGTGATTGATAAGCAGCCATGCTATCTTGGTTCCTTTTTTAAATTTTTTTTTAAGATTTTGTTTTTTTTAAGTAATCTCTACACCCAACAAGGGACTTGAACCCACGACCCCGAGATCAAGACTTGCACGCTTCACTGAGCCAGCCAGGCGCCCCTTCTCATTCCTTTTTTTGATCTAAGTGTTTGAAATCCATTGTGTATTTTCAGCTCCTGGAATGGCTGGGATGCTCTGTATTGCAGGACGTGGATCTGGGGGCAGTAGATTTAGTGTGGGTAACATTGTCAGTGTTCATTTTTTGTTTCTTTTCTTAGATTTCCAGTTGTTTTTTAGAAAGGGAGAAGGGGCAGAGGGAGAGGGGGAAGCAGACTCCCTGCTGGGCATGGAGCCCGGTGCGGGGCTCGATCCCAGGACCCCGGGATCATGACCTGAGCCGAAGCCAGGTGCTTCACTGGCTGAGCCCCCCAGGCGCCACCTGTCTCTCCAGGTTCTTATTGGGCAGAATGTCAGCCCTGCAGGCGTGTGGGGGTGCCGCAGTGGACTCCAGACCAGCCCTCTCCTCCATTCTGCCATGATACCATTTTGCCATGTTTCTCTTTCCGTCCTTTCTTCCCCTGAAACTGTTTTGACAGTTTGAGAGTCTGTCGTGGACCTCATTACTTCCCGAAAGCCGCAGGCCTGAATGTGCAGGGACGGTGGCGCCCTGTGGGGGGTCTCCCCTTGGGCAGTCCAGCACTGATGGAACACCACTGCTTGCGTGTGCCGGCTCGTTACTGACCCGGCCCCTTAGCTGCAGTCCATGTGTGCACATGCGCTCCCATTCTTTGAGCTCCCTTTAATCTGTCCCATCTTTTCTTTTTTGGTCTTTTATGACATGTTTTTGGGCACTAGAGGCCAGTTGTTTTAACAAATGTCCTCGGGATTTGTCCGATTGTTTTCTTGACTCAGTCTGAGTTTCGGGCGGGGATGTCCCGTGTGTTGTAGTCTGACCTCTTGGCATGGGTTTGTGGGGTGTCTTCAGATGATGGTCACGCGGCGCTGTGACGCGGGTGGTGCTGAGCTGCACGCCTGCCCGTCTGCACCCAGGACGGCACCCTGTCCCCCGCCCGCCCCCCAGCAGCCCTCCTGTCTCCTTCCCTGCCCCCACACGGTCCTGCCATGCTGACTGTCTGAAAAGCCAGCTTCTAGACGAAGGTTTGGCATCAGGTTGGGAAGCGTGCTCACCCTGATGGGCATTGCCTGTGTAGCCAGCCCCCTTTCCCTGTCCACGTCGTGCCCCATCCCTGTTCACAGGATAATTGCTCTCCTGTCTTAGATGGCACAGTGGTCCTCCCCCCAGTTTGCGGGGGATGCGTTCCAGGCCCCTGGTGGGTGCCTGGCCTGTCGATGGAGCTGAAGCCCCGTTATGCAGCGTGCTCATAGAGGTGGCCCAGGGACAGACGAGCAGCGGTCCCTCAGGGCAAGCCGAGGTGATTACAGCTGTGTGCTGGCCTGGAAGTCAAACGAGGAGGGGCTCTTGGAAGGTCTCTGGGCCGTACCTGCTGTCCCTATGACGAGGGCAGACAAGATGAGCCTCCACGATGAGATGGGGGTGCAGATGGCACAGGCTTGTGCTGGAGTCGGAGGCTCCTCCCGGTGGAGCGTCAGCAGCGCTGGTGACCGGGTGCCTGGAGCAGGGATGGCGGCGCCGTGGGCGGGGCTGGGCGAGCTCTTCCTTGCTCGGCCTCCCATTCTCCTGACGAAATCGCTTGCTCTTCTTCCCCCTTGTCGTGCAGCGTTCGGTCCAGGGGGCCTTTGTTTCCTGCCTGCATGATTTGTGTTTTGCTGGGCTCCGAAGCCATCGGTGGTGCTCGCCTGGCTTCTTGGGGGGCCGAGCGCCGTCCTCAGGTTTCACCAGCCTCTCAGATGTGTTTCTAAAGCCGACCTTGTCCGGGAAATGGCCTAGCGTTGGTGTGGTCCTTCTTCTAGGAACCACCTTATGGAGGGGTATGCCTGACCCTTCTGCTTCCTTTGCAGGGCGTGTCGGCGGCCGGCCAGGTCGTGTCCCTGAAGGTGTGGCTGATAGACGACATTTTAGAAAAGATCAACAGCCACCTTCCGCCTCACATCCGGATCCTGGGTAAGCGCTGCAGGGCACGGCCCTGTGCCCCGTGGCCGTGGGTCTTGCTGGGACGTGAGGCTGCACCAGGTTTCTCTGGTGTGGAATTAGGACTCCGAGCTGTTGCTTAGAGGTTGGTAAGAGCGGTTGTGAGTCACTTCAGAGGTCACTGTCCCCTCCTCCTGAAGGATGCGCCCTTCATGGCAGTGGCTGGTTTCAACCAAAGCCCGGACACAGGAGTTCGGATTTGGTTGAGTTGAAATGGGTGATGACTCTCCTTTATAACACGGCCGGTAAGCGGGGTTTTTAGGTCTTTGTTAAACCAGCCCCATTTGACCCCGCTTTTGAGTGGCGCTTCCGGGCCGTTTACGTCTCCCGGCGTTGGGTTCGTCGCTGTGGGCCTCCCTGTCTGTCGCTTTTCGTCTCAGGTGTTCTGTGCTCCTTTTGTTCTGCTTCCTCTTTGGATTAATGCATGTTTTCGTAGTTCCATTTCCTCATCATGTGGTTGCCCTCTTAGGTGACTTCTTAGGTAACTCACTGTGGTTTTTTAGCGATTGCTTTGGGGGCTAAAACGGGGTTGAAGACCCTCTGTAGCGGGCCAGGCCGTGCGGCCGCCATGCGCTCCTTGACTGTCGCCGCCCCGCTGCTCACGTCTCTGCAAACAGGCTGTTTGGTGGCCGTGGTGGCCGTCCCTGTGAGAGCATTCTTCTCACCTTGCTTTTTGTAGCGTCGAAGACGACAGCCGCGTCCCTGCATCTGTCCCCCAGCCTCGCAGCTGATGGGTATTGTACGACCCCGTGTGGTGCCCACCCACGCTGCCTCATTTTCTTTCTAACTGCGAGTTGAAAAAAACCTCTCGAGCCATAACTAACGTTTGATGACGCCCGTATTTAAGCGTACAGTTCTGACGTGCGCGTCCGTGCGCCCACAGCTGCGGAGCATCCCGGCTACTACCGTGAGCCCTCCGCCCCCACCCCTCCTCTCCGGCCACCACCGACTCGGTCCGGCGCCGCGGGTTAGTGCTCTTGGCATTTTACGTGAACAGAGTCAGGCCCTGGGTGCGGCTCTTTTCACGGAGCCAGGTGCCGTGTGGACCTGACAGGCGGGCGTGCCGCACGCGGTTTCTCCGTGGGCCGTCCGAGGGTGCTGGGCTTGCGTGCCGCCGCGGACGCAGCTGCCGCGGGCATTGGGTGCAAGTGAACGGAGGCTTCGTGTGAGGTCAGTGACGCTTCCTGTGACCGTGTCCGCAGCGGATGTCTGTGTTTGCTCTGTTGCACAGTTTCTCTGCCCCTAGGGAGGGTCCCCCCAGGACACTCCTCATCGCGTAAACCCTTGTGAAGGCCAGTTGACGCGCTTGCATGGGAAGGTCTTCCGTGTGGTCCGTAGATCGGCCCCAGTTTTGCTAAAGCAGCGCCGAATCCTGCACAGTTACCGCAGTTGTCAGCACTCCTCGTGCAGTGTGACATGCAGGGTGGTTTTCCTCAGTGTGGCCCGGAGCGTGGCCATCAGGCAGCCTGGGTGCTGATCCTGGCAGGCAGTCGCCTGCACGACGCGTCCAGTGATGCTCGGCGTGGATGAAAGCGTTTAATGCCGGGCAAAGAAAAAACCTGAAATTGCCCCCAAATGAGGCCTGATAGTAGAGCGAGAGCAAGGACGGTGGGAGCCCTGGGGCTGGGCCGGCTGGAGGTGCAGGCCCAGACCCACCCCTGTAGGCCCGCGGGGCCCTGGTGCAGCTCAGGCCGTGCGCAGGGTCCTCGCCGGAACTTGTGTGTCCTTGGGGACATTCTATACGCACACAGACGTGTCTGCTTCACACAAGTGCCCTGCGCGCTTTGTCCTGTCTTCATTCTTTCCCTTCCTGGTTGGCGCGTGTCGGGCACCTGCCGGGCTGTCAGCGCTCGCAGTGCGGGTCTCTGCCGGCTGCTTCCTGGTGCTCGGGGCTGCCGCTGCTTTGTTCTGTGAACATGCTAGTTGCGTGCGACCGCTCCTCTTGCCGGTCTTCTACGTTGTCCTGAGTTCCTTCGGTTGTCGCTGAGCTGGTGGTTGTCGCTGCCTGGTGGCCTCGTGGAGGACAGTTCGTAGAGTGTGGTTTCAGGTCCGCAGCACACGCCGTGGAGAGCTGCACAGGGCGAGAGCACGTGCTGCGCTGCCCCTCCGTGAACCTGGGTTTGAACATCAGCGTGTGGTTTTGATGAGTGGGTTTGTGTAGCTCTGCCGTGGAGTGTCTGGTGTGGGCGGGTTCGGGGCGCGGAGGCTGGGCCCGTGTCTGTTCCAGGCGCACGTTGGCGGGAAGCGTTGTCCTCACCTGCCTCCTCTCCCCTCAAGGACTGAAGAGGGTCACGGGCGGCTTCAACTCCAAGAACAAGTGTGACGCTAGGACCTACTTCTACATGTTGCCCACGTTTGCCTTCGCCCACAAGGACCACGACGTGCAGGATGAGAGCTACCGGCTGAGCGCGGAGACGCTGCTGCGCGTGAACAGGCTCCTCGCCTGCTACAAGGGCACGCACAACTTTCACAACTTCACCTCGCAGAAGGGGCCCCGTGAGGCCAGCGCTCGGCGCTACGTCCTGGACATGTTCTGCGAGGAGCCTTTCGTGCGGGACGGCATGGAGTTCGCGGTGATCAAGGTGAAGGGGCAGAGCTTCATGACGCACCAGATCAGGAAGATGGTCGGCCTGGTGGTGGCCATCGTCAAGGGCTACGCCCCCGAGAGCGTGCTGGAGCGCAGCTGGGGAGAGGCGAAGGTGGACGTGCCCAAGGCGCCAGGGCTCGGCCTGGTTCTGGAGCGTGTGCACTTCGAGAAGTACAACCAGCGCTTTGGCAATGACGGGCTCCACGAGCCGCTGGACTGGTCGCGGGAGGAGGCGGGGGTCACGGCGTTCAAGGAACAGCACATCTACCCCACCATCATCAGCACCGAGCGCCACGAGCGGTCCATGGCCCAGTGGCTGAGCACCCTGCCCGTGCACGACTTCAACGCCACCGCCCACACCGCAGCCTGCCCAGATGCCAAGGTGGGGGCTGGGGCTGTGGGGCTGGAGGCTGGGGCTCCGGGGAGGCCGCAGGCCCTCCCTTCCAGGCGCTCGGATGAGCTTGTCACCTGCTGCACTTGGGCATCCTCGCATCTGTTGTGCAGACGAGCAGGCCGAGGCGCAGGGGGTGTGTCAGCCTTTAGGGGTCACACAGCCGGGGATGAGCTGGGGCAGGGCATGGGACCAAGTGGCTGGTGGCCCCACAGTGCTGCTTGTGTGCACTCCCCTCTCTGTGCCTGGTGACCTTGGACAGAGGCCGGGCTGGGTGGTCTGCATTTCTATTTGTGGGACAGCGCTGTGAGGACGAACACTGTGGGGTCCTCATGTGTCTGTTGTCACACCTGCTCTGGAACGTGGGCTCCCTTAAGAGAGGCATGCAGGATGCTTGGCGGCCACCCCAGGAGGCTGCTCTCTGACGCGCCCTCCTGCTAGGGCCGCGGCTCCTGGTGGGTCGTCCCTGCCAGTGGTAGTGTTAGGAGGAGGGCGTGTGTGCGAGGCGCTGGAGCTCAGCGTAGTCTGCGGCAGGAGGTCTTTTCCTAGGCCGGAAGACGTCCCTGAGCCTGGGTTCTCCACTCGCCCAGCAGCTCTCCACAGGCGCAGTCCCACCTGGAGTGCTGGGACAGTGCTTCCCATCGTCTACACGCCAGAAACACGTGCTTCCTCCTGCACGCATGGGTTGTAAACTCACGCACGCAGGTGAGGCGAGCCAGCCAGGTGGGCCAGGTGTGGAAGAGCAGGTGTGCAGGCAGGATGACGGCGGGCAGCGGCATGGGCGGTGACAGGGATTGGACAGTGGAGACGGGAGTTCTCCTGCTCTGTCTCAGGGCCACGGTGGGGGTGGGGGTGGTGGTGGGGACAGCCACACTGGGAGAACTGAAGCTCTTCCAGGGGAGACGGGCCTGCTGGGAGCTTGCGTGAGCTCTTCTGCTCTGGGTGTTGGTGGGGACTAGTTCTCCCAGGCACTGAGGCCGGATGGCCTGTGTGTGCAGGTTCGAGCTGGGGGCCCGGCGTGCCTCTGCTGGACTCCCACCAGGACAGGCTCTTGCTGCCTGCACTTGTCCAGTTTGGAGGAGCCTCGTTTTCCGTCCTCTGGGGGGATCTGACGGAGCCCCGTGAAGACTCCCTTGTCTCCAGCTTTGACTTTCCCTGAGCAGGTCAGGGGTCCGAACTGTTGGTGTGGAGACCAGGTATTGGGCAGAGACCGGGCGCTCATGTGTGTCCCTGATGCCAGGCCAGGCCAGGTGACCCCAGGCGGACAGCCCACCCCAGGGAGGAAGCACCCACACTTTTGTTCTTGTCCTGCAGGTCCCCAGCCCCCCAGGATACAGTGATTGAGGTGGTGGCCGCCTGTTGGAGCGCCTTCGGGCTGGCCCAGTGTGTGCCGGGAACCGCTGCTGCCGCCGCTGCCGCTGCGGGCCGTCCTCACCGACACAGGAGAGCCGCACCGCGGCCCCGCAACCTCAGGGTCTTGAGACCTGCATCACGTTGGGCTTCATCCCAGGGAGGACGTGCTGTGAGTCTGTTCTCAGCTCATGCGTTAACCGTATACACCTCAGCATGTAAAGACACTATTTTTTTAAAGAAGTAATTTTTCTAATTAAATAAGTACAAACTTTGCTTAAGTCGTGCTTTTTTTTATTTTTCATTCGGTGTTTGGGAGGGAGTGGTGCGTGCTGTTAGGAACAAAGTGGCATCGGTGGGTGGAGGCTGGAGCAGGTGGGCACAAGAGGTTCTACGGGACCAGCCGTCAGGCCCTCAGGACCGGGCTTGGTGGCTTGCTGGTGTAGTAGAAGGCAGCATGAGCAGGGCAGGCCCTTTCCCGGTCACATCCACCCCAGCCCTGCCCACATCTCAGATGGGAAGAGTGGGACAGACGAGGGGACTGAATGTGCCCCTTGGTGAGGCACATTCTTTCCCAACAGAAGACCCACCAGTAGCTTCTTCCCCTCGTGATCAAGGGCATGTCACGCCATCTAGTCCAGCTGCAAGGGATGCTGGGAGATTCCCTTTACCAAGTGGCAGGCGCTGCTGCACAGCCCAGGAGTGACCTGTCAGTGAGGAAAGGGGGGTCAGGTGACGGGCAGGCTGTGGGCAAGTCTGCGGAAGGCACCGGCAGTTTCCGGTGGGGGAGTGCCGCACTGGAGTGTGTTGTGTGCGTGCGTGCTGGTGTCCGTGCATGGGTACGCAGGTACACACGTGATAATGCGTGCATGCACGAGATGTGTGGTGTCTGTCCCGTGGGTATGCACGTGTGCTTGTGTGTCTTTGTGGGTGCCTCTGTGCACACGTGTGTGCATGCATGTGGGGGCACAACCCTGTGTGCACGGAGCTGGGCAGATCTCTTCGAGAGCTTCTGGGTGCACAGACAGGGTGGCGTGAGTATCATCAGGAAGACCGCTGGGGATGCTGGTGTGGCCAGGGTGGGGGTGTGGAAAACGAAAAGCAGTTGGGCTTCCTGCTACCACGGGGACGGGGGTGAGCACAGGAGAGAGGACCGAAGGCTGAGCCGGGCTTCAGGCTTGAGGGACTGATGAGTTGGGGCCATTCGCAGATGGTGCCATTGGGGAAGGGCGGTTTGGAGGAGGTACGGAGGAGGTGGGCATTAGGTGTGGTAATGGGCCTCGTGATAACAAAGGCTCTTTGCGAAGACATTTCCAAGTGTAGAAATGAGCCTAATAACTGCTGGACGACAGCTTCACCATGAAAGGCTATAAAGTCTCGACCTCTAGAGTAGATAACTCCCAACTGCGACTCCAGGTAGCGAACGGACGACCTGTGTTAGTCACCTCGGAGGATCCCTGGGTGTGCGGCGTTTTAAAGTAACGAACGTGCTTGAAGTACAGAAGAGAGCAGCTCTCATCCCTCGTTCCAGGGCTGCTCCCAGAGAGCACTGTGCATGGACAAGCCCATCTGATCGCCCTCTTCACATAGATGGCGACTCACAGTACACTTGACTCCTGCCTGTCTCAATGTAGGATGGCTTTGCGGTCACGAAAGGCTGCACTGTTCTTGCTGGTGGCTCACCATGTCCACACTGCCCAGCCTGCTGCCAGGCATTTGTCCAGACCGTCCCTATACGTCCTTGTTCACAAGTGTGAGTAGCTGTGGATGCAGAATCAGTGGTCTGATGGGTTTCACTCGACTTTAACGGCTCCGTCCCTCCACAGAACTCTGCAGATATCACATGATGGTAGCTGTTTCCCACTCTCCCCAGAAACTTAGGGGAGCAAGTCTGACCTTGGGGCCAGCCTTATCCTAGGTTGCATGATCTTCCCTGAGTATGGAAGGCACAGAAAGTTAGGGCCAGGATTTGTGTAGTCAGGGCATCAGATGCCAGAATGCAGTGTTATCCCGAGGACACAGGAGAGCAAGAACCCGCACCTCCTTTCCCTGCCTGCTGGGTCCCCAACATTGGCCGGCATGTAAGATGGGCACGTGAGTTAGCACCTGGGAGCCTTGGGAAATCGCGTGAGCTGCTCTCACCTGTGTTGGGAGCGTGCAGGTCTCTGAGAGGAAGACGTCACTGGTTCTGTGCGTGGTTGGGAGATGTTTTCTTCAGGAAATTTGGGGCTTACAGATGGCTGGGGGTGGGCGGCTCAAGGACTTGGTTTGGGACTGGACCCCAGATCCCCCAGAATGATTCCTGGGACAAAACATAACTGGCCCACTGAGGCACCTGCCTCTGGAGCTGGGGGGACCGGAGAACCTGGAGCCCCCACCCACGGCCACACACCTGGAGCTGCTGACAAGCTGCCCAGAGCTATGGCCCCGGGGGAAATCTTCTTGTCAAGAAGCTACCACTGTCCACAGCTCCACGCTGGTGGCACCCAGCACTGGGCCACCCTTGCAGGAGGAACATGGGTCAGACGTGCTTTCGGGCAGCAGGTGCAGGCAGGAGCAGCAGGGAGTCTGGGACCACCTCCTTCCACCTCCAGTCTTGCACAAATGCGGCAAACAGAAGGGCCTCACTCAGCCAGGACTCTGGCAGACCGAGTTTTTAACTTCCCGGCTTCAAGTAGGAGGGTGGCATGAGGGTTCAAAGAGCCAGTCCCCACCCAGGCAATTCAACAGGATGGAGAATGTTCTTTAACCATGGTTCTGGAACGACAGGTTAAGTGCAACTCCCTTCATAGCCAGGGTTTGTCTTTCTAAAATTTTCAGTTTAACACCAGAGGGCATTTGTACCTGCACTTTGCTGAGTTTTTATCCCATTTGTCTTCTAATTCTTTTCTCAATTTTTAAAGATTTTATTTTTATTTATTTTTTTAAAAGATTTTATTTATTTATTTGAGAGAGACAGTGAGAAAGAACATTAGAGGGCAAAAGGTCAGAGGGAGAAGCAGACTCCCCATGCAGCCGGGAGCCTGATGTGGGACTCCATCCCAGGATCCCGGGATCATGACCTGAGCTGGAGGCAGTCGCCTAAGCAACTGAGCCACCCAGGCGCCCAAGATTTTGTTTTTATTTATTTAAAAGATTTTTTAAAAATTTTATTTATTTGGGCGCCTGGGTGGCTCAGTGGGTTAAGCCGCTGCCTTCGGCTCAGGTCGTGATCTCAGGGTCCTGGGATCGAGTCCCGCGTCGGGCTCTCTGCTCGGCAGGGAGCCTGCTTCCCTCTCTCTCTCTCTCTGCCTGCCTCTCTGTCTACTTGTGATCTCTCTCTGTCAAATAAATAAATAAAATCTTTAAAAAAAAAAAAAAAAAAATTTTATTTATTTGACAGATAGAGATCACAAGTAGGCAGAAAGGCAGGCAGAGAGAGAGGAGGAAGCAGCCTCCCCCACCCCGTCCCCCTTTTGAGCAGAGAGCCCCATGCATGGCTCGACCCCAGGCCCCTGAGATTACGACCTGAGCCGAAGGCAGAGGCTTAACCCACTGAGCCACCCAGACGCCCCTTATTTTTATTTTTAAAGTAATCTTCACACCCAGGGTGGGCCTTGAACCCACAACCTTGAGATCAAGAATCGCACACTCCACTGGACAAGGCCTGCCAGGTGTCCCTAGCCTTCATTTTTTAAAATGACATTTTTTATTAGGATGTAATTCACATACCATAAACGCATCCTTTCAAAGTGCACAATTCAGTGTTTTTTGGTACATTCACGAACTGGTGCAACCATCGGCGCTACCTAATTTCACAACATTTTCATCAACCGCCCAAGGAAATCCCGGGTCCAGCCGCAGGCAGTCTCCCCCGCCACCACCCCGGCCAGGGCTAGCTACTGTCCACCGCCCGGACCCGCGCATTCTGCACCCTTCATGGAAATGGACCCCTGCAGCGCGCGGCCTGCTGTCTGGCTTCCCCACCGGGCCGGTGCTTCCAGGGTTCATCTCTGTCGTAGCAGGTGTCCCCTGGGTTCGCCCCATTTCCCGGCCATCAGCCGATGGGGCTCGTCCGCGGACGGCTGGTGAGAGCGAGCGGCGTCGGGGCGCGCCCAACGCACTTCGCCCCCCGAAAGCCCCTCCGCACCGGGGCGCCCGGCCGCGGGGTGCACAACAGGCGGCGGAAGCCGGAGAGCTCCCGGGAGCGGAGCCCGAGGCCCCTCATCTGCTCTGCGGCCCACCCCGGCCCCGGGGTCTGACTGGGTCTTCACCGGTTCGGGGGTCATCTTCTCTCGGCCGTATTCACTGCGCCAGCCCTCTCCAGTATGACGCCGTCCGCGGGTCCCCGCCCGCCCAGCCGACCCCCGCGGCCCCAGCCTCGCCCCACGCACTACCCGGCGGGGCCGGTCCGCCGTCGGCCCGTCGGCCCGCCCGTCACCCGGCCGCTCTAGCCCGATGCGCGTCTCGACGTCTCCCGCCGCGGGACGTCACTTCCGGCTCACCGTAGCGGGCG